TTAATATTTTTTCATTATTATTAAGGTGGACTGACTGAACACCAATATTTTGATTGGGTTGGTGTACACTCATTGATTGGATGATGTTAACACTTGAATCATAGAACATAAAGTACTTGAGATTTCTCTAATTTTAGATCTAATGTCATTAACTGAGGTTTCAACTAAAACAATGTAATTAAGGTCATTCGTTAAAGAGTTGGATACGTTGTTAGAAACCATGTTAGGTACAGATTTAGTTTGATCATTGTTAATAACAGGAGGATTATTTGGCACATATTCCATTTCCTCGTCACCGTTGTGAAGTAGAAATTCATATGTAGGATCATCAATTTGATCGGAATCATGTATGATGTAATGCATAAATTCTAAACGATTGAGGCGAAAGTCAATGTCTTTTTGGTTTTGATCTTGCTTAATGGCTGCATTTTTTAGGGAAACTATTTCATCATCTATCGAGATGAGTTTGTTTTCAATGATATTTAGTTTTTCTTGGAAAACTTTAAGGCGTCAATCATATTTGGAGGAACATTGCTTGTCTTTCCTTGGGAGGGAATGGGTTTATTTAGGTCAGTAAGTGTCTGAGAGTATGATTTTGATGGGCCGCCGTTATTATTGTTGAATGACCTTGGAGGACGATATTGCTCTGGTTTGAAACGATCATATAAAGAACGATAGGGATTGATAGGTTTGCGGTTGGTGCAGTCTTTAAATTTATGATTGGGGACACCACAGCTTCTACAGTGTTTTTTGGAAGGAGCCATCCAATATAATATTTTTCTTTGAATTTTTGCAATTGTGAAGAAGCTGCTGCGACATCTTTAGCACTAGCGAAGTTAATAAAGGCATATGGTCTGAGTCTATATTGTTAGTCACGTGAAATGAAACAGGATTTGGCATTAATGTGAAGTAAAAAGTCGATAAGTTGGCATTGATCAGTATTGAATGGTAACCCTGTAAGTTTAAGTTCGAACTGCTGTCTTAGAGCCGTTTGTGTGGGGTCGAGATCAGTTAGTTCAACTCTAAGCAGAAATTCTAAAAAAGTAACGGACCAAACTTGGTCGTAAAAAGTTTTGATAGAATCAGGTTCTTCAAAAACAATGAAGGTGATCTGTCAGGGTCCACGGATGATCATGGAAAATCTGGAGATCTTTCCATATTTAGTGAAGTAATTTCTAACAACATCTGATTT